AGATCGTTCAAGAACATTGATGAATAAAGGTAAATAAGTGGTTATAAACCAAGGTACAAAATACATAATTTGATTATGTAGATCACAAATTTTATTATTATTATTATTGTTAAATTGATCCTCGGTTAAACATTGTTCAAACTAATGATTTTTTTGAGAAATATTATTCAAATCATCGGTACTATAAGTGTCAAAAACCCATATTTTAAATTGGTTCCATCTATCACTGAAAAACTCATTTTGAATGTACTTTCTTGCCAGAGAACCTGAACTAAAATCAATCTTGTGTTCATCCATCATCAAGTATCATTTGGATTAAAATCCATTTCGGATACAGAAGGAATATCCTTATCGCCAGTCTTGAATACTGAAACATATTAATCCCCATGACAAAAATGAATATTTGATCAGATTTCATTCTGGGAAATGGAGCGATGCCCAGAAGAAATATGCTACGGTGGCACATGAAATGTTAACCATCGTCAAATACGTGTTAAAGTTTCAAGAAGTTGGAAAATTAATTTCTTCCCATTTTATAGGTCTTCTAGTAGTGACCTTAGATTTAGCAAAATTAGTTTCTACTAAAATAGTTTGATCAGATGTATCATATAACTTACATCTTGGGTTTAACGTAGAAAGCAATTTAAAATAAATTCTATAAGACAAGCAAATCAATTCAGATCCAGGTGCATAATTATAACCATGCGTTTTAACATTTAAAGTTAAAGCATCAAGAATATTAGCATCAGTTAAAGATAACTGCAAATTCGACTGAGTATTAAAATAAACTGGACCATATGCCACAGTAGATTCAATTGAACCCATCAAAGATTGTCTAAAACTTAAATTTCTAGCATCACGCAGAGCAGCTAAAAATGTCTCAGGTAACCATTTAAGGGTCAAAGGCTTAAAACCAATTTGAACCATGCCAATATGCAAGAAATTATACTGGAGTTTGTATAGGTCGATATCTCGTTTCTTTAACAAATGAATAGTTTGTTCATATGAATTTAACGCCAAAGATTGCTCAGTAGTTTTAATCAAATGTTTATGAGAAATTTTATCAAACCAACCATAATCATAAATGGTTTTAATATCAATTTTTGGAATAGTCCATTTGTTTAACAAATGAAGGTTTTGAGGTATATCTACCTCTTCCAATCTAGTACTTTTAGTACTCATTTCTCCAAGATCCATGAAGAAAAGAACATATCTATGTTGTATACTTCACATCAATTTCATATTTACCATGAAAATCCCTAGGCTCTGATACCAAGATACATGATCTCTATAGACTGGCAGTAATCCGCATGGTCATCTTCAATCTAGTTTAGCATCCGAACTCAAAGTGTAAATTCGAATCGAATTATATACAAATTTTATATAGTATGATTATTGTATGGAAGGATCTCATCCTTTTACCCAAGCAAGGGGCTTGTCAAGATTTACATTCATAAATTTCAAACCCCAACCATAATCATAAATGGTTTTAATATCAATTTTTGGAATAGTCCATTTGTTTAACAAATCAAAGTTTTGAGGTATATCTCCTCTTCCAATCTAGTACTTTTAATACTCATTTCTCCAAGATCCATGAAGAAAAGAGCATAACTATGTCGTATACTTCACATCAATTTCATATTTACCATAAAAATCCCTAGGCTGTGATACCAAGATACAGGATCTCTGAATACTGGCGGTAATCCGCACAGTCATCTTCAATCTATTTTATCATCCGAACTCAAAGTGTAAATTCGAATCGAAATATATACAAATTTTAAATAGTTTGATGACTGTATGGAATGATCTCATCCTTTTACCCAAGCAAGAGGCCTGCCAAGATTTAATACGTATTTTCATTGAGCCCATGTGTCTAGCAGTTCTAACCGGGTATATGGTGATGTGCCGTAAAATCGTGGTACATTTGACGCTTAAAAACTATGAACTAACACTGGAATTAAGTGAAATTTTGTACTATTTGATAGGTTTGTTGAATGTGTCGGCAAAAATCTGGTTGATATAGAAAATGGAAAAGAAGCTGCAAAATGATGATAATTTGAAGTAAAGTTCATGGTCAACTTCACGGACCGTGACCTCCATTACGGTCCGTGGTTGAGCTCGTGAAAATGAAGCAGTGCCTTGCCTTGAGAAGACGAAGAGGAGTAATAACCAAGTGACAACCACATAGGGTTTCATGGGCCGTAGCTCTTACCACGGACCATGGTACCTACCGTGGAGTTGAACCAGTGTGAAAGCAAGGAAAAGTTGGAAGAATGTTGGAATCAAGTGAAGACCATAGACACCATGATGGGCAGTGGTCCTCACTACGAATCGTGGTGCAGTTCATAGTCCTTGTTCCAGTAGGTATCATTGAAGACCCAAACTTTGGAAAATCCATGGGAAGACCACAGAGGGCTTCACGGACCGTGAATCCCTTGACAGGTCGTGGTAGTGGCCGTGAAAATGCCCGACAATTCAGTCCTACTTCGATTAAGACTCACTTTTAACATTCTATTTTTGAACTACTTTAGGTCGTTTTTGAATTATTATTCAGCAGCTTACATTTTACGACTAAGAACAGAGTATACTTTTAGCTTTAGATTTTGGATTCGAACTATTGTTATCAGTTTGAAGTTTGGATTTCGATTATCAGATTATCAAGTGGTTGTTGATTTACCAATTATTTTTGTAAGTATTTCTTAACATGTTTTTGATTATCCAATACTGATTCTTTACGTGAAAACATGAGTGGCTAAATATCACGACTGGGTGTGTGGGATCTATGACGACATTCCAGTTGTGATTCTGTAAAATGAGTAAAAGGTAATCTTTGTTTACAACCTGTAGTTTACAGCTTTCATTATCATTCTAGTCTATTGAGTGCACACTTTAGACAATCCTATATCTGGTGTTTGTTCGAAAGAAAAACATCAGTTAGGAAAAAGCTAAACTAAGTTAATGAATTGGAGTTAAAATCGGAGTTCGAGAGAAGAGATCTTTAACACCATATCAAATTAAGAGAAGTCCAATATTGATAACACTTTAAGTTCGAGAGAATTAGAGTGAGGCTGAGAAGCGTTAGATTAATTCAACTCGCAAATGTTTTGTAAACATTGATTTACCTGATACTCAATTTACGGGAGATCATTATAATTGATGTCATAGTGAACACAAAACCTAGTTTCTTTAAATTAACTGAATCAACTTACAACGAGATAGTCTGTGAACTGTATATCTAAGTTTTGACTGCAAGTGTTGGTGGTAAAATACATTTCAATCAAACCCAATTTACTTTCCACGTTATTTGTTTAGGAAATGGTAACAACAATTGAGTAAACGCGACCGTGAAACTTTATCTGTGAAGAAATTCTCTATGGAATCGACCTCAACTCTAGTTGAATTATGCAAATTGACAACGACCGTTTACACTTCTTAGTTGGAGTGTAAGTTTGGACGTAATAAAGTTTGGCACCGCTGCCGGGGAATTTCAATTCAGAAGTGTTTTACTAGATTTTATTCGATTTGTAGTTATATTTCCTAATTTTACATTTTGTTCTGTGTTTGTGTCTCTTTCAGGTGAGTGCTACTGTGTATGCCAAGTACCAGGAGTAAATGAGCTCCATTGATCCCTTACGACTCATAACTCGAAAAGACTCTTCGAAAAATGGTGAATGCACAAGAACTGGAGGCACAAAGACAAAGGTTGGGACTAGAAGCTGAAGCCGCTGCAAGAGGTGTTCAGCAGAACGACGGTAACAACCAACCTAGGGTGGTAGATGCGAATAAAGGAGTGGATAGATTGATCCCTCCCCAACGCCAACCAATAGCTCCAAGGGGGTAAAGCTCAACATCCAGCGCACATGATGTATGATGAAGATGATACATATTTGGATGGAGTTGGAGCCACTGGAGCGATAGTGTTACCTGCACTACCTCCAGGTGTTAAGTTCACAATCACCAGCACTATGATTCAATTGTTGAACCTGAAAGGTATGTTTAGGGGTGCAACTGGTGATGATCAAAATCAACACCTAATGAATTTTATGGCAATCTGTAAGTCACAAGAGATTCCTGGGGTCAACCAAACAACAATGAGGTTGAGGCTGTTTCTATTGTCTCTTACTAGAGAGGCAACTAACTGGCTGAATGAGATGCCAGATGACTCCATCAGAACTTGGAATGAGTTGAAGGAAGCTTTCCTGGTACTATTCTTCCCAGAATCAAAAAAGCTGCAGAAGAAGGATGAGATTAGTACACACAAGCAACTACCAGGAGAGGCAATGCATGATACTTGGTGGAGGTTCAGCCAAAAGCTGAAGAAATGCCCCAACCATGATCTTCCCGAAAGGCATCTTAAACAGGAATTTTATAGGTCTCTGAAATATGTTACTAAAACTGTTCTTGATGCAGTTTGTGGAGGCTCATTTATGAGAAAGTCATTTGCGGAGAGCATGCATCTATTGGATGAGGTCTCAAATAACAACAAAACATGGTACACTAGAGATGCAGAGATAGGAGAGCATGTGTATACATTTGAGCTTTCAGCTGAACAAAGGAAGAGAGAAGAAGAAAGGGACCAAGACATGACACATATGAGGAATCAAATAGACCTGCTCACAAAGCACATTGTTGCCAAGTTTGAAAAGGTGAATGCTATAGGACAGCAGAACAGGTATGAAAATCAGGATCTTTACATTGCTGAGGAAGCTAACTATTTGCGGAACCAAGGAGGTTTCCGAAATTATAACTCTGGAAATCAGGGTTACAATACTGGAAATGCAAGTTGGAGCTATGCTAGGGATGGTCAGTATGAAAGGCTAGCAAATAGAGATCAAGGAAACTGGCAAAACAAAGATGGCTATAGGAATGATCACAGTAGTATATATGTACCTCCAGGTAATAGAGACCGGGCGAGTGGTAGTTCTAGCGGGTCTAAGCTTGAGGACATGATGGCTAAGGTACTTTAGAAGGTCGAGTCAACCAATGCAGGGGTGAAAGAAATGAGAGGTGACTTCTCGAGCATGAGTCAGTTGGTGGACTCTCACACCACCTCCATTAAACAAATAGAGCAGCAGTTGGGGCAACTCTCAGCCTCACTGAATCAAAGAAAGAATGGATCACTACCAAGTGATACCATTCAAAATCCCAAGAAGGACGGACACTGCATGGTCATCGCCACCAGGATTGGTAAAGTTCTTTCTGATCCTATTTCTGCAGGTACCAAGTATGAACAGGTCTTAGAGCAAGCTAGCAGAGAGAAGGATGAGACTATACATGTAAATGATCTGGAGGAGGCCCAACCTAAAGCACAACCTGCGAGAGAAAAAGAGAAAGAGGTTCAGGAAAACCTGCCCTTACAGCAGATTCCCAGACCACCTCCTTCTTTCCCTCAAAGGCTAAAAAAAAAAGCTGAAGATGGAAAGTTTATGAAATTCATCAGCATGCTAAAATAACTTTCAGTAAACATTCCATTGGTAGAAGCCCTGGAGCAGATGCCAGGATATGCCAAGTTCATGAAAGACTTGGTTACCAAGAAAAGAGCTGTAAGTCATGATTTTTCTAACAATGTTCATCATTACAGTGCCATTGCTACCAGATCTCTGGTTCAGAAAAAAGAGGATCCATGTGCATTCACGATACCATGCACCATTGGGTAAATCAAGTTTGCTAAAGCTTTATGTGATCTGGGAGCTAGCATAAATCTGATGCCTTTAGCCATTTATGAAAAGTTAGGTTTGGGAGTACCGAAACCTACAACAATGATGTTGATGATGGCTGATAGGTCAGTAAAGAGGTCGGTGGGAATCCTGTGTGATGTACTGGTAAAGGTGGACACTTTCATATTTCCAGCTGATTTCGTGATTCTGGATTGCAAAGTGGATTTTGAGGTTCCTATCATCTTGGGAAAACCATTTTTGGCTACGGGAAGAGCTTTAGTGGATGTTGAGAGAAGAGAGTTGAAGTTCAGACTCAACATAAATGAGGTAAGGTTCAATATTTGTAGGTCAATGAAACAACCATGAGATATGAATGTGATATCTGCAATAGAGATGGTCATTGATGAAGACATGAGGGTAGCCATAGAAGAGAGAATGGCTGTTGAAACATTAGCAGCAGTACTGATGAACTTTGATGCTGATTTTCAGTCTGACTATGTAGAGACCATGAATGCCTTGCAGGGTATGGGAGCACACTCGTATGCTCCAAAGAAATTGAACTTGGACTTGAAAAACAGGCCAAGCCTTCCAGCGAAACCATCCATTGAGGAGCCACCGGTGTTAGAGCTGAAATAGTTACCCACTCACCTCAGGTATGTATTATTGGGTACTAATAACATTTTGCCTGTGATATTTGTTGCAGATTTGAATGAAGAGTAGGTACAAGAGGTGATCAAGGTGCTAAAAAGATACAAAAGAGCCATTGGCTGGACCATTGCTAGTATAATTGGGATACCTCCAGGTATTTGCACGCATAAGATTCAGCTTGAGGAAGACTGTAGCCCGAGTATTGAACAGCAACGGAGGTTGAACCCACCTATGCAAGTGGTGGTTAAGAAAGAAATAATCAAATGGTTAGATGCTGGGGTGGTCTACCCTATCTCTGAAAGCCACTGGGTCAGTCAGTTCAATGTGTGCCTAAAAAGGTAGGTGTGACTGTGGTGGAAAATGCCAAGAATGAGTTAGTCCCGCAGAGACCAATTATTGGATGGCGAGTGTGAATGGACTACAGGAAGCTGAACAAGTAAACTTTGAGAGATCATTTTCCCATACCTTTCATTGACCAGATGCTTGACAGGTAAATGGTGGTACTGTTTCTTAGATGGATACTTTGGCTACAACCAGATATCAATTGCTCCTGAAGATCAGGAAAAGACCACCTTCACATGTCCTTATGGCACCTTTGCGTTTAAACGCATGCCATTTGGACTATGTAATGCACCAGCCACATTCCAAAGGTGTATGATGTCCATATTTTCAGACATGGTTAAGGACGCTCTAGAGGTATTTATGGACGACTTCTCTGTAGTAGGTGATACTTTTGATGACTGTTTGTTGAATCTTAGGAGGGCTTTACAGAGATGTGAGGAAGCCAACTTAGTGCTAAATTAGGAGAAGTGCCACTTCATGGTAAAAGAAGGCATAGTCCTTGGACACAAGGTCTCACAGAAAGGAATTGAGGTCGACAAGGTTAAGATTGAGGTGATTGAAAAATTACCTCCGCTAATCTGTGTGAAGGGTGTTCGAAGCTTCCTAGAACATGCCGGATTCTGTAGGCGTTTCATCAAGGACTTCTCCAAAATTGCACACCCCATGTGCAAGCTCTTAGAGAAGGAGGTGAAATTTGTCTTTGATGATGCATGCCTTAAAGCTTTTGAGTGCCTAAAAGAGAAGCTGATTTCAGCACTAGTGAGTATTGGCCCAGACTGGGCGAAGCCATTTGAGGTGATGTGTGATGGTAGTGGGACTGCGTTAGGAGTTGTGCTAGGATAGAAGTGCAACAAGATGTTCCATCTAATTTACTATGCTAGTGAGTCACTAAATACGGCACAATGAAACTACACAGTCACTGAGCAGGAACTATTAGCTGTAGTGTATGCTTTTGAAAAGTTCAGAGCTTATCTGCTGGGCACTAAGGTGATAGTTCATACAGACCATGCTGCTTTGAGATATCTGATGGCGAAGAAAGATGCTAAGCCGAGGCTGATCCGTTGTGTGTTGTTGCTCCAAGAGTTCGATTTTGAAGTGAAAGACATGAGAGGTTGTGAGAACCAGGTAGCTGATCACCTTTCTAGGTTAGATGCTGCAAAGAAAAAGAAATTGAGCTTGATATAGATGATACATTTTCGGATGAGCAGGTATTAGCTGCTACTTTTGATCTTATTCCTTGGTTTGCTGACTATGCTAATTTTCTGGTTAGTGATTTGATGCCTGAGGGGATGACATATCAGCAAAAGAAAAAGTTCTTGCAAGATGTTGGTAAGTACTTTTGGGATGAGCCTTATCTGTATAGGGTGTGTGCTGACAACATAATTAGGCGATGTGTTCCGAAAGCCAAAATGTTGCACATTTTGGAGGCTTGTCACTCATCTCCAGTTGGTGGTCATCATGGTGGTTTCAAACAGCTCACAAGATACTTCAATGTGGGTACTACTGGCCCACAGTCCACCAAGATGCCGTAGATATAGTAAGGAGCTATGATATGTGCCAGAGGCAATGAGCCATCTCTCGACGCCATGAGTTACCCATGACACCCATTTTGGAGGTGGAGTTGTTTGACGTTTGGGGTATTGATTTCATGGGACCCTTTGTTAGTTCTTATGGGCAGAGATATATACCGGTTGCAGTGGACTATGTGTCCAAATGGGTTGAAGCTGTTGCGTAACCTGAGAACGATGAAAAGAGTGTTGCTGTGTTCTTAAAAATGAACATATTCTCAAGGTTTGGAACACCCAGAGCCATTATCAGTGATGATGGTTTTCACTTCTGCAACACGGTGTTCAGAGCGCTTCTGACCAAGTATGGGGTAAAACAACACAAGGTGGCAACACCTTATCACCCACAGACCAATGGACAAGTGGAGGTCTTCAGCAGGGAGATTAAAGAAATCTTGGCCAAGACAGTTAATGCCAACATGACAGATTGGGCAAGGAAGCTGGATGATGCTCTAAAGGCATATTAGACTGCTTTCAAGACACCTATTAGTATGTCTCCATATCAGCTAGTGTTTGGAAAGGCATGTCATTTGCCAGTTGAGCTTGAGCATAGAGCACTCTGGGCATTGAAGAAGTTAAACCTCAGTTAGAGCGAAACTGCGAATTTCAGGTTGGATCAGATCAATAAGATGGATGAGTTCCGGCTGAGAGCTTATGAGATATCAACACTGTATAAGGAGAGGATGAGGCTATATCATGACAAGAATATTGATAAAAGAAGCTTCACTCCTGGTGACTTGGTGTTACTTTTCAACTCCAGACTTCGTTTGTTCCCAGGAAAGCTGAGATCTAAATGATCTGGATCTTTTAGGGTCACACGGATTTTTCAATCTGGTGCTATTGAACTGGAAAATGAGAAAGGCGAGAGTTTCAAAGCTAATGGTCAGCGAGTCAAGGCATATTTGGGTGATCCTGAGGATGTGAAGATTGTAGAGGAATGCAAACTTGATGAAGTCTGAGTAATAAAGTAACCTCAGTCGCGCCGCGACGTTAAATTATGTGCTGCTTGGGAGGCGACCCAAGATGTAATTATATTAGGTATGTTCCCTTTTGCCTTTTTTTTCTTTATTTTTATAGAGTCACTTTGTGCTGATGTGTGCAGGAGAGAATAGGGGGAAAATGTAGGACCTGGTGCAGACTGAACTTCACGGACAATCTCACGAACCGTAGTCTCTTCACGGGCACTATCACGGTCCGTCAACTTGAGGACTAAGTTTGGAAGCTACTGGAACATAAAATAGGGTTCACAGAAGGATTCACGGTTCATCAGAGAGTGTACGGGCCGTCTAACCTCTCGTGAACCTCAGGTAGGAATTTCAGTTCCAAGTCAACATCACGAAAAGTTTCACAGACCGTGATTCCCTTCACAGACAACTTCACTGTCCATCGTCTGAGCCACGTAAGTTTCTTTGCCAAGTCATTGTCACAGATAGGTCCACGGACCGTGATGGTCTTCATGGGAAAGCTCACGGCCTGTAATCCACTACCCAGTAACACCAATTACCCGACCCGACCCGACCGGCGCGTAACCCAACTCAAAATTAAAATGTATTTATTCGATTCCATGGCCAAAGAGTCAGTTTCTTCCTCTTATTCTCCTCCATAACGGCTATCTAAGGGTAGAATTGATTACCATTCATCAATAAATCCTACATCTACCCAAGAATCGAAACCCTAAGTGATCAGTTGTGCAAGTGTGTCAAGCTACTTCCAGATTTTCGCTTTTTTACTTCCAAGTAAGTTGATTTTTAAATGGTTTGCAACGTTACATCTTGTCTACACCGATGTATAATGACTTCTATTTTCTTGACTTCAGCATACCTTTGTGATGATTAATTGCTAACTGATACTTAATTGGAGTGGGTAAGTCGAATTGGGAAGTTTTAGCTATTCTTGTGTATTGGTCGATCACAGGGGTTCAAGTTTGTTGGTAGATGGTGAAATTTAGGTTATTTAATTTAGTTCAATAAGAAGTAGGGTAAGGCTTAAAGTATAGGAAGATCTTATATTTGTACAAAAATGGGGGTTAAGTGCTAAAATTCAAGGTTGGGAAGAAGGTGACTGACCTATTGCCCAGTGTAAGACTACGACAGGTTGTACAAAACGTGGCAGACATCACAGGTCGTGCAACTTGTCGTAGACCACACTTGAAATCAACCCAGCCCTTAGTTAAAGTTCACGGGCAGTATTACGGACCGTGGTGCACTCCACGGGCCGTGAAACCATCCGTGAACATCCCTTGGTAAAATGGTCAACGACTCCTTGTGCACACGTATCCTATTTCAACTCCACGAGGGATTTCACGGTCCGTGGTTGATACCACAGCCCATTCAAGCTCTCATAGAATTCCCTTTGTTTGTAATTTTAATTTTTATTATGTACTTAGTTTGTGTTCATCGTTTGATTCCGTGGCCCTTCTCGATGATAGATTGGGTGACGACATTCTTAAGGCAAGGCGTCATGAGGATATTACACAGGGGAAGTCTGAGTACCCGCTAGTTTGCCATTTTATTGATGCTTGTACCGAATTGGTGTTTTGTTTCTCAGGTACAATGGGTCCCAGAAGAAAGAATGCTAACAAACCTGGCCCGGTCACCGCTTCGCATTCAGAGGGTCATGATGACTCCGAAGCGAGTGGGTCTGAGGTGCAAATAAATGTTGCACCTGAAGATCACTCGTGTCGAGCTACTAGATAATTGTCTAGGAGAGCTATTCTCCAGGACTCTCTTCCTCAATCTGAAGAGGGAGGTAGTAGTTCTGATAACGGGGAAAACTCGGGAAGTCAAATTGATGCTGCTGTTGGTAACCAAT